ACAATTTGTTGTGATTTAGCTTAAGCATTCATAATGTATATGAAGCTGCAAGAAAAAGATTGAGCAGGAGACTAAATTTCATGAAAATATACACAGAACTGACCAAACCCTAGCTTTTTTTTTCTTTTTTTTTTGAGAATGAAGAGGCCTAGCTAGTTACATCAAATGTGAAAATAAATTCCATCAAGTGAGGTTACATAGCAAACCAGTCCATTTGTGAGTATTACAAACGAAGCTGCAAACGTGCATGGTTAGTATGAAAGGTTGTTGGTGAAGTAATTAAAAAGTTTGCTTTTGTATTATAGGTTTTTCCTCACTAATTTGTCTCCTCTCAAATTGGACAAAATTTGTCTGGAATGTAGTCATTAATAGACTGACATTGATGCTCAAGATTGAAATTATTGACAGGGAAACTTACATTATACATTTTCAAACTTGATGTTCATATTTGAAGATCTAGCAAATCGTTGAGAAGACCTATCGTTGAAGACCAACACTTGATTGTGCACCATTTTACGATCAATTAAATTATAAATTAGTCGTTTTAAGACTTATTGTTAAAGACCAACACTTGATCATACACAATTATAGAATCGAGTAAATTATAAGCTAGTCATTTTAATTTTGAAAAACAAATTAATTAGTCCTTTTATTAAAAACTAATTATTTAACTCTTATATTTTTAAATTTTTTATAACTTAATCCTTTTTTGTTCTTTTTAAATTTATTTTATTTTTTTAAAAAATAAAAAAATAGAATAATTGATAAGAAAAAAATTATTTTGAGATAAATAATATTAAATTAAACGTAACCAATACTAGTCAAATGACTTATATAATTAATTTTTGAAACAAAAAAATTAATTAATTTGTTTATAAAAAATAAAGGACTAACATATAATTTAGCATCAAAGAAGAGGGGGAAAGGTACGTTAATGGGGTTGTTTTCCCCTTAAAAAGAAAGCAATAATTACAAATTTATAATAAAATTAAAAATTAAAAATGTTTCAAAATGTCAAATTTATAATAAAATCAAAAATCAAAAATGTTTTAAAGTATCATTGTAATCTAAAAATATCATGAGCCTAGTAAAGGCAATTTCAGGATGTGGCCAAGTCCATTGACTGATGCTGGGTCTTGACAGAATGGAGGATCCCTAAAATAAACAAAGTTAGGGAGAAAGGGTTTACTTTCAAAGTTCGAAGAGTTTTTTTTTCCCCGAAAATAAGACACTTCTAAATCTTTTTTTTAATACTAGAATAAAGTATTTTTAAATTTATTTATTAAAATAGAGTATTTTATGCGATATAAACTCTTAAATAAAGTATTTATGCCTTCAAGCTTTTAATATTATTCATAAATTATAGATTAATACAAAAATATTCAAAGAGAGCATCTCCAGCCCTCCTGTGTTCTTGAAATTGATTTGGCTGAATTGTTTTTTCTAATAAGATTCCAACCATTTTAGACAAACTATTTTCAATTCTCCATTTGATATTAAACTTACATTGAAGAAGAATGATATCTATTGAGCTTTTTGGAAGGTTCTAAATTTAATTTATATTTATTAAATTCTTCAAAACTAATCAAATTGATATAAAAAATGCATTCTTAAAATCGTTTGAAAAAAAAAAAAAACTTAATTGACATGGAAGCTTAATCAAAGATATCTCTTAGCCGTCGAATAAAAAAATTAAAAAATTGAGAGAATATCTTTACACCTAATAAACCGCTGTGGCAATAAATATATCTATATGTGAACTTGGTTTAGACTTGTGACATGAGGAACATCAATAAATCCAAGAGTTCCGTGAACTGGATTTATAAAATTAGTCCTTTTAATTTTACAAAACGAATTAGAAAGTCCATCTTGTTTTGAAAATTAATTAGTCTCTTAATTAGAGCTAATCGTGTATAATTTAATATTATTTTATTTCAAAAAATGTTTTCTTTTCTCATCAATTTTTTAACTTATTTTTTTCAAAAAAACGAATTAGAAAGTCCATCTTGTTTTGAAAATTAATTAGTCTCTTAATTAGAGCTAATCGTGTATAATTTAATATTATTTTATTTCAAAAAATGTTTTCTTTTCTCATCAATTTTTTAACTTATTTTTTTCAAAAAAACGAATTAGAAAGTCCATCTTGTTTTGAAAATTAATTAGTCTCTTAATTAGAGCTAATCGTATATAATTTAATATTATTTTATTTCAAAAAATGTTTTCTTTTCTCATCTATTTTTTAACTTATTTTTTTCTTTCTATTTCTTAAAAAATAAAATAAATTAAAAAAGAAAAAAAAAGATTGAGAGACTTGTGACAGGAGAAACATCAACAAATCCAAGAGTCCGTAAATTGGATTTATAAAGTTTGTGAAATTAAACTATTAGGCAGATATAGATTTTTGGATTAAAATATGTTTCTCTCTACTAAAACAATAAGTACATTATGAATTAGTCCTTTTAGTTTTCAAAGATGAAATAATCCTTTTCGTTTTAAAAATTAATTAATTAGTCTCTTAATCAGTACTAACCATGCATAATTTAATATTATTTAAGAAACTCTTTTTTCCTAATCAAAATTTTCATTTTTTTCTTTTTTTTAAAATAAAAATTTAAAATAAATTGAAAAAGAAATAAAATGATCAAGTTAGAAGTAGAATTAAAAAATATAAGAACTAATTAATTAGTTTTTGAATCTAAAGGGACTATTTAATTTATTTTAAAAAATAGAGGGACTAATTTATAATTTACTCTTAAAACTAACTCAAATGGAAACCCTTCTGTCAAATGATCAATTCAAGCGACCTTTTTAATATTTCAAAGGAATTGATTCCCCTGTAACTTAAATGCACTTTCGAAACTTTTGCTACTGAGGCATACCAAAGTTATCTTCCAAGACTGTAGAATCAAAAACAATAATAAACAACAGGAGAGTACTGTGTATTGTGCCGTAGATAATGAGTAAATCATAAATTAATTAATCTTTTTTATTTTAAAAACTAATTATTTAGTTTTTTTTATCAATATTGAGCATGTTTGATTTACTATTATTTATTTAAAAAAATATTTTCTTTTTTATCCATTAATTTTTTAAATAAAAAACATAAATTTGAAAAGAGCTTAAAATTAATAAAAAAAATACTAAATGATTAATTTTTAAAATGATAGGGATTAATTAATTCATTTTCAAAAATAAAGGGACTAATTTATAATTTACTCCATAGACAGTGGAGCGTGGAGGATCGAAAGATGAAGGGCCTACCCAAAAAAAAAAAAAAAAAAAAAAAAGGAAAAAGGTTAATCATGTCGGTCATGGAGTATATGTGGTCCGTGAGTCATTTAAAAGGTTAGATCCAACAACCCATCATAGGACTTTTTGGTCTTGGTCGGCCTCAATGAAATTCAAATGACACGTGTTCGTTTGGGTAAATTATAAACTAGTCCTTCTAGTTTTGAGAAATAAATTAGTTAGTTTTTAAATCTTAAAAACTAATTATTCGGTCTCTTAACCAGTTGCTGACCATGTTTTATTTTATTTTAAAAACGTATTCTTTTCTTATTAATTTTTTCATTTTTACTTAAGTTTTCTATTTTTAAACAGAAAATTAAATCAATTGAAAAAAATAAAAATAATTAAGTTGCAAAAAAATTAAAAATATAAAAAGAAAGAAAATGAACTAATTTATTTTTCGAAACTAAAAGAACTAATCGATATTTTACTCGTGTCTGCTTTGATATGATGATGTAACATAGTAATTAGATGTTCTATATGTTCTTCTAATAATTAATACCTATGATATTAGAAAAAAAGTATGAATTTTGACATATTTTACTAAATTAGATTAATAATTCCCATATTTTGTAACACACTTTAATAGTCCAACATGAAGAAATAAATAAAAATTCAAAATTATGCTATTAAAAAAATCATGATAAAAAAAAATTGAATTATGAAATTTTCATTTTTCGATATCAAAATTCACTTTAAGACCAAGCTCTTTCACATTTTATTTTATATTTGAGTTATATATATATATATATATATATATCCTTTTGTTAAGTTTAATTATATCTTTATTCAGATTTTTTATATAGAATTGTTTATTATCTTGATGTATTACGTATTTTATTATAGCTCTTCCTTTTCCTTTTTCTTTATTATTATGAATGTGATTGAAAATTGATTTTGGATCTCTTGAAATGACGTTAAGTAATTTTTTAACAAAATTGGGATTTGATTTATTAATTGGCCATATATCTCTTGGAAACAAAATTAAACAGGAAAAATTCCAGCATTGATTAATTCAAATACATATTTCTCAGATCAAATCAACTCTTTTTTTTTCAAACAAGTAACGATAAATAAAGATGTATAATTCTTTTAATTAAGTTGAATACTTTTAATTAACATATACTAGAAAAAAATATTTATTAATAAAAAGCATAATCAAAACTTCTCTTTATATTGCAAGGTGCAATTATAACTCATGATTGATCCAGGGAATTGTAGGACACCATATGGAAAGCCAATTCTCGGAAAAAGATTGATTGATTAGATCCTATTTCTGATATATAATCATCATCCTTCAAATTAGTTGCTTAATCAAATGAATAAAAACAAGTAATACCTAATTATAGCATTGATGCTCAAGGTTATTTTTGCATCGCCCACCAACTAAGATTACCTCCACAAGATAGTCGAAGTCCTTTTATCTATTAATTTTAGATTCAAATTTAAAAAATTATTAAAAAATATGGTTTAATGGAAAAAAATTATTTTAGTCTAATTAAAACTAACGTTCAATTCCCGTTATTCATAAATAATCAATTGTAATGATTTTTTAGTAATATTAGATTTAAATTGATTTAATTTAAAACATATTTTAGCGATCCATAAAAAAAATAAAGGTGTTCTGTACCAATCAAGAGTCAGCACATTATATGTATATATATACACGCAAACTTATCTATAGGTACACTATTTATCATAGCCACACAATAATGCGCACTATGGCTAGCATTTTCTCCCTTATAGCCTCTGAGTTCATCGTCCTCACCGTCCTCTCTTCCTTTGTCATCGGAGAAAACCAAGACTTTGTCAGAACCCTAGACAGCAAGCTATATGGGCTCAAGCTCAAGAAAGAAAAGCTAACACATTTTCGTGTCTATTGGCATGACATTTATAGTCCCCCAAACCCTACAGCCATGTCCATAGTGAGACCACCGTCCAACACATCAGCCACTCTCTTTGGTTCTATAAGCATGATTGATGATCCATTGACAGAAAAGCCAGAACTAAGCTCAAAATTGGTAGGGAAAGCTCAAGGGTTTTATGGATCAGCATCACAGCAAGAACTTGGCCTATTGATGGCCATGAACTTTGTGTTCCTTGAAGGCAAGTACAATGGTAGCACCATTAGCATTCTAGGAAGGAACAAGGTTTTCTCCGATGTAAGAGAGATGCCGGTGATCGGAGGTAGTGGGCTTTTCCGGTTTGCCAGAGGTTATGCTCAGGCTAGTACGCATAGTGTTGATTTAAAGACCGGTGATGCTGTAGTTGAGTATAATGTCTATGTATTGCACTATTGATGCCATCCCTATAATGTCTATTAAGTTATTTATTTCTTTTTTTCTTTTCTTTTTCTTTTTTGTAATGTTTTTTCTTCTTCTTTTTTTTTTACGTGTAATAAATCGTTCGTGATCTAATTTACATATGCGATCTGATTTATTCGGATTTATGTTTATGCTGTTAAAAAAAAAATTGAAAAATAAACTTTGAGTTGAATGAAGTGAAGTTTGTTCCATTTTATTTTATTCAAAATGTGTTTTAAGTTAAATTATTTTGGAGTATCTCTTAATTCTATTAATTCCTACTTTATTTTTTATTTTATTTAAAAAAATCCCCATATTAATCTAATGAAAAATGATTTAACTATGGTGTTACTTCCATTATTGAACAAGGAGAAGGATAGGCAAGCATCGAAGAATTAGTTCGTAAGAAGACAAAGTAGAACACTCCTTTATGGGGATTGGGGAAGTTGACGAGTCAAAGTTGTCACTATCAGATAATATGTAGAATTTAATTAATCAAATGGCCCAAATGAAATCAGGCTTTCTCGGCCCAGCCCATTACATGTGTCCGGAATCTGATCCACGAGCTGGCGAGGAAATTATAAATTAGTTCCTCTTTTTTCGCAAAAAAATTAATTAGTCCTTCTGGTTTAAAAACTAATTATTTAATTCTTTTTTATTTTTTAATTTATTTTAATTTATTTATTTTAAAAAATAAAAAAATAAAAAATAAGTAAAAATATTAAAAGATTAATAATAATAAAAAATATTTTATAAAATAAAAATATTAAATTAATCGTGATCAACACTCGATTAAAAAGATTAAATAATTAATTTTTAAGATCAAAAAAATTAATTTATTTATTTCTTGAAACAAGAGGGAATAATTTATAATTTACTCACAAGCTGACTTGACAATCCTCAGCCTTTTTTTTCACAAGAGGTCATTAGAAATTTATAGGCGCACTTATTATTTTTCAATAAATGTTTTTATTTGTCACCAAACAAAAAGAAATAAATTTGTAATTAAATATTCCTAGGAAACGTTAATGATTTGATCCAAAAAAAAATTATAATTGAAAATTATCAAAAACATATTCTTTAAAAAAAAATCATACAAAATTTTTATTTATTGATTTTTTTTTTAATATGGTCAAATTATATCCAATACTCTTAATTTGATGATATTTTAGGACCAGCGGGAGTACTTGAAAAGCTGTAGAGTTGATGAAAGATGTTTTGTGATCGAGTTGTATTTCCAACAAATAAACGAGTAAATTATAAATTAGTCCTTTTAGTTTTGAGAAACAAAATAACTTTTTTTAAAACAAAAAGGACTAATTAACTTATTTTTCAAAACTAAAGGGACTAATGTATAACTTACTCGAAAGAAACTAAACAAACTTTATACATACGCAGTTATACGTACACGCATCATCATGATGGAAACAGCACTCTTTTTAAAAATAAAAATAAAAATGCTTGTCCTCTTCTAGAAATCATGGCAAGCAATTAGCAATGTCTTTTGCGTGCATAACGCAGGACTACCAAATGATAAAGTTAGCACCATGCTATAGTGTGACTTGAGTTCAGGTTTGGTGACCAAGACCCTTAGAAAATTAAGGTAATCACGCATGCCATTTCTTGCAATCAAGGCTTAAAAAATTTCCAAAAAGAACCACACTAATTCACCAAACATAACAATACTTTTGGGCTATTGTATACTATCTTTATGCTGCATTTGAAATTATTAAAGAATAATATAAATTTTATCACGAGACTTCATATACTAGTTTAAATTTTTGGATTGAAATGATCATTTGATATAATATCAAAACTTAATTGATTAAGTGTAGATCTGTATAAATTTCAATATCAATCTCAAATATTTAAATTTTTACTTGAGGAGGTATCTAAAATGTTTAGACTTTTACTTAAGAATGTGTGTTAAAAAATAGTATAAATTATATCCGAAGGCTTCACCTAATAGTTTAAACTTTTGAATTAAAATAGTTATTTGTCGGAAAATGTTTTTCAAAATACGTTTAGATTTAATGTTTTGTTTCAAGTATTTTTAGATAACTTTAATACATCTTATCTATCAAAACATCACAAACGCTTCAACAAAATATTAATTTGATGTTTTTTTTTTACTCTAAATTTATTTTTGCAAAAACTTCTAAACAGTATTACTAAATACACATTTTATTTCGAAACGATGTCTCATGTGGTTTAATGCTGAAGCCATCAGACATTGATTCAACTATTACAAGACAGATTGAGTCATTCATTCTATAAAATACGTACAAGTGGCCTTGCAGTCTAACCAATGACCCCATTGGTCAGACCAATAACTCATTGAAATTGTATTTTAACAGGATGATTGCCATGGTAGGTTCAATAACATTGGTATTTGGAGTATTATTTAAAGGTTTTGGTGGAACAACCCTACATGATCTGTCTTATTAAATGTTGAAGTTGATCATGTCACATCAAGTCATCATTGTTTTTCTAACAAATATATGGTACATAAAAAAAAAGGAAAAGAAAAAAGAGTTCTTTTGATTTTCATCTTTGTTTGGTTTCCCTTAGTTATTCCATGGAACGATTATTTATCATGGCAATACTTAACACGATGTGCAATGGCATGTTCAATTCAAATACCATTTTGATGGAACCATCGTAGGAAGCCAACAAATGGAAGGCCAACTCAAAGGAAAAAAAGAAACTATTAATTTAATCCTGTTTCTTAACATAATCATCATGGTCACGAAGTAGTCATTTCTTAATTGGAAAAAAAAGATCACCTAACCTAACGCCAGAATACAGTACGCTTTGCCCAGTCTTGAGATCCCCATATAAGTATTGCTCCACAATATTGAACATGGCAACAATTTCCATGGCTAGAATTGTCCCCATTATAATTTCCAAATTCATCATCCTCACCCTCCTCTCTCCCTTTGCCATTGTTCATGCTACAAAAGAGAATCAAGGGTTTTTACGAACCCTAGACCGCAAGCTACATGGGTTCAAGAAAGAAAAGCTAACCCATTTTCGTGCTTATTGGCATGATACTTACAGTGGCTCCAACCCCACAGCCATGCCCGTTGTGAGACCACCTTCCAACGCATCAGCAACTCTCTTTGGTTCTATTAGCATGATTGACGATCCATTGACAGAAGGGCCAGGAGTAGGCTCAAAATTGATAGGAAGAGCTCAAGGGTTATATGGATCAGCATCGCAAGCAGAAAGTGCCCTGTTCATGGCCATGAACTTTGTGTTCCTCGAAGGCAAGTATAATGGTAGCACCATTAGCATACTAGGAAGGAACCAGGTTTTTTCAGAGGTACGAGAGATGCCGGTCATCGGAGGTAGTGGGCTTTTCCGGTTTGCAAGAGGATATGCTCATGTCAAGACTGTTAGTTTCAATACAAAGACAGGAGATGCTGTCGTTGAGTACAATGTTTATGTGTTACATTATTGATCATGTTGGTCCTTGTTTTTTTTTAATTCCATTTAAGTAATTTTTTCTTTCCTAAGTTATTGTATTTTGCCACTATATGGCATCGGTATTTCTATTCTTCTAAGAAATTTCGAGTTAGAAAAAGTGATGCCGGCTTCATCTGATTTATTACGTGACAATTGAGGTGACGACCTTTTCTTCTTTTAATCGTCTTTTCTTCTCTTCTAGTTATGTTTTTATTTTTGTTTTTTTCTTGGGGGGCCATCAATTTTGAACCGTTAGCACTGGCCATTCATATTGAGGTTGGTAATAATGCTATTTGATTCAATGAAAAAATAATAGCATAAGATTGCAAGTAATGTCAAAATGGTAGATGGCATTATGGCTGGCTGGCTAAAGTCCAGATGCTTAACAAAATGACATAATTCTTGAAAATTACACAAAAGACAAACATGGCAAGATAATTGCTCTGCTATCCTATACCAGTACAACTTTTGACAGGAAAAAAGAAAAGAAAAGAAAGCCAGGTTACATTTGCCGATGCTAGTAACAATCAATATGAGTAGATTATAAATTAGTCTCTTTAGTTTTTTACAAAGATTATATTTTTAAACCTATTTATAACTTAATATTTTTTATTCCTTTTCAATTTCTATTATTTTAATAAACTAAAACGAAATAAATAAACAGTATAGAAAAATGGATGAGAAAAGAAAATACTTTTTTTAGAATATAATCATATTAAAGTAATTATAATCAATACTGATTAAAGAATTAATTAATTAGTTTTTATTTAAAAACTATTTAATTCGTTTTTAGAAAATTAAAATGACTAATTTATAATCTACTCCTTCCAACATATGGGGCAGCCAAAAAAGAAACATCTGGGGCAGTGAAATTGGTTTTTAGTCGTACTTCATTGTTTTTCGCTTAATAATTTTTCGAAGTAGTTCCAATAGCTATTAATGACAGCTTCATCAATTGACACAATAGTTTAGCTCTTTTTAGTTTAGGAGGAACTTTGTTTATTAAAGTTGTAATCTTATTTCATAAATAAGTCATCGATTATTGATCAGATTCGATTCTCGTATTTAGAAAATTCTTTTTTTATATGATGTAATTGAATATGAACTGTTAGTAAACTTAAAAAATGAGCTTTTAGAATTGATTAACTACTAAACGTGATTCAATCTTAATCAAATTAAGGAAGTATTAGATTTAATTTCGATTAGTTCAAAAACTGGTCCAAAAATACTAAATTATCTTTTTATATATATATATGGTCAAAAAATTTAACTATGAAATTTGTTGTAGAAATAGAAAATAGAAATTAATTTGTTGTTTCAAAGAGCATTAAAAATGGTGATTGATATAAATTTTTGGCTAATATTTTCAGTTAATGAACTTGGGTTTCTTGTACTTCATCTCATATAGGCTAATGGTCGCATATGATCCACCAACTAACATTAGAATTTATCATTCCTTTAAACATGGTAGAATCTAGATAATTTGTATCAAAGTCCAATTTAATCAGAGAAATTTTGCATGTTTTCTTAAAATGGGTAGGCCTAACATGAAAGGCAAACACTATGTCGATGGTGACCCTGCTTCTGTGAGCTTAGACCACTCTAGATCCAGTGGTTTCAGTCATGCATCCTGTGGGCCTTCCACACTAGATCCATTTATTATGAATAAATTATAAATTAAACCTTTTAGTTTCGGTAAATGAATTGATTATTCTCTTTTATTTTTAAAAAATAACTATTTATTCTTTTAACAGCTCATTATGCTTAATTTAATATTATTTTATTTAAAAAATTTTTCTTATCAATCTTTTTATAATATCTATTTAAAAAAATAATTATTTTTCTAAACAGAAAAAACTAATTATTTTGTTTTCTAGAGCTTAATTTATAATGTACTTTTTTTTATTATTCAACATCATGGAAATACCAAAGAACTTATAGTTTAATGGTAATGATCTCTTACAATAAGAGATCATGAGTTTTAATTTTAAAAAACTAGTTCTGTTAAGAGTTTTGAATGTATAAGTAAAAAAAAACATAACAATAATAAAATAATAAAAAAACATGGAAATTGGATTTGTTGGACCTGTTACACTAGCAAGATGGGTTTGAAGTTCAAACTTTCCTTGAGCAAGTGGGGCAATAACTCTTGACGTTTGGTCCACCCACTACATACTATTATATATATATATACGATACAAATATTAAGTTGTGAAATTCTTTAAATTTCTGGTAATTGGGACACGTAGAAAGTTCTTCCAATTAAATAATGTTCCTCTTAATTAGAAGTAAAGAAAAGTAAATTCAAAATGATTGAATTAATAAATAATAATAAATCAGGAATTTTTTGATGGATCCCCATGCCTAACTAACTCCTAAGTTTCTGTCTTCCAAGAAGCCAGGTAATAGCCCTTTCATGCTATGATTTTTCTAGCTTTTTACGTCTGCTTCAAAAAGTAACTAAAACAAGCAAAACAAAAGGGGTAATGATAGTTTCTGCAATAACTTCATCATCAAGTATGCGTAGGCTTTTGTTCAAAGTCTTCCCCGAATCCCACCCAGCCCAGCAGGGTGACTTGACTAGCCAGTTATCAGTCTTGCAGCTTTAGAACATGCCATTGGAGTTTTACCTCATGGACACCGGTGTAAGAACAATCGTGGATTGTAATTAATTGAAGTAGTAAAATAAAAGTTATAATAATTGTAATTAATTATAATAATTAATGCTGTGAATTCATTAACAATCATTAATAAATTTATTGTAGAGTAAAGAATTAAAGTATTTTTTTTCTTAACAATAATATAACATATGCTAGTTGAATAAGATTAAAATCTTATTCAACATCATTATTGTCATTATTTTGAGAAAAAAAACATGATTAGACTTTTTATACCGTCCTATAATTGAACCGGACATGCACGGATGAGTTAAATAACTAATGGTATTAACAACTTTCATTTGGAATCATTCAAGTCATAATTTCATATTTAGATATTACAGTTAATATGTTTAATTTCTATGATATTATCTAAATTCAAATTTAAAATGAGATAAAAAAAAATTCCCAAATTTGCAAATAAAAATGTTAATGAATAGTGCAAAAACCGATCAAGAAAAGGTTTTGTTTAAATCAGAATACCAAGACTGTTTTTTTTTTTAAAAAAAAAAACCGAGTTGAAAAACAACATGTCAGAAAGAGATGTCATTATTAGGACTGGGACTAGCCCCACATTCTCGTACGTTACTTGAGCTTTAATGCACCAGGTCCTTGGCCTGAATTAAAAAGAGTAGAAAAGTCATTGTCTTTGGTCTTCTCCTATACAGGCATGATCAAAGGTCACAAATGTCTCTAAATGCTACCTACCATAACAAACTTATTGGTTAAAAGGAAATTTACCGATGGAAAAGCATCAAGAGACGAAGTTCCATATCAACTTGAGCATTGACATATGTCAAGAAGTTGAGACATACAAAAAGCTTTGACCAATTCCTAACGTGAATCGCAAGTCTTGCATGAGAACGGCCAAGGTTACCCCGCCAGTGATTGTCTGGCCTGTGTGTCCAAACCGGCTGAAACATCTTGCCAGCCACCCACTTTGACAATGCAGACGACCATTGTGAATTTAGCAGTCCATGGAAAGTTAGGTCAACGAAAATAGCCACAAACATTTCTGCAAGCCCCCCAATCTAGTTCTTGTGGTTGTATGGATTCGAAAGAAAAAAATTTGTCGAATTTATCCTAAATTTGTTACACTTTCATCATCAATTCAACCCAGTTGGGTTAAATTGTAAACAACAAGCAGTGACACTCTCACAAAAACAACACCGTTTTCATACAAAGAGTATAGTAAAACCGTGTCGTTTTGATTTAATATTCATTTTGGTCGTCCTTTTTGGCACAATCGCTGTTGGTCTTCGTTTATAAATTAGTCAATTTACAAAAAGGTCCTTAATTGGAAAGGGAGGCTCTGGTTAGATAAATAGAGCAGGAGAGACAAAGTGGCTGGAAAACCAGTTTTCACCATCAATTAAGAAAGTTGTCACATTCATTTGATAAAAATTTTAGCCTTCTGAGTTTATTAGAGGTACTTGGGTGCTTCGAAGTGATCCAAAAAAATTAGTTATGAAGTCTATTATGGAAATAGACACTGAGAATTAATCTAATGAAGCCATGGGTCACTGCAATAAATTTCAAGATAGGTGATAAAAATATTCGTCCCCAAACATTCAAAATTCGTCAATTAATATATTTTGAGATGCATAACTAAATTGTTTTAAAATCAACTTAACTAATTGCATTTTTGAACGCAAAGTAAAAATCATACCTAAAGCATCAATATTGCAGTTGAATTTTATTTTTGCCAATGAATATCGATTAATTACGAATAATTATTTTCGTCTTAGAATATCTCCATATTTATTCGAAATAAGTCACTTTCGTTGATAATTGTGAAAAAATTAAATGGAGAAAAAGCATTTTTATAAATAATAAAAGTCGTCGTGAAATTTGTTGCAGTGTTTACAAATGACAGGCATGTAGCATACGCAACTTCTGACAATTCCACACGATTTTGAGAAAATTCCATCTCCACACCTATGTTATGCCAAAACTTGGAATATATAGAGCCATAAAACATAGACAAAGTGGAGGAGATTGAAAGTTTGTACAAAACCAAGAAATTTTGGCAATAGCTATATGATGCATGTTTTAATGGATTTCAATGCTTCATCCTCCATTAAATACTATGAATGCATACTTAACAAACCCATTAAAATAGACAAAAACCAATTAGGGTATGCCATATTTTTATAATGGTAGGACTTAATTTCAAGTCATTCTACGAAAACGAATAAAATATAAATTAATCCCTCTACTTGAAATGAACTCATTAGTCTTTTATTTAAAAAACTAATTATTTAGTCTTTCTATTTTTTTAAAAAAAATTTGTAACTTAATCTTTTTCACTGTTTTTCAATTTTTTTAAGAAATAAAAAGATAAATAAAAAATATGAAAGGATTGATTAAAAAAATGAATAATTGGTTTTTAAAATAAAAAAGATTAATTTATTTATTTCTAAAAAATAAAAAAAATTAATTTATAATTTATTCTACAAAAACGAATCCATTAATTTTCCTTTTCCTTTTCCTTTTCTTTTTCTTTTAATAACATCATCAAGACATCAAGATGGTAGTGGAAGTCAGTCACGAATAGTTTGTGGTTGGTGAGTAAAAGGACGGGGTAAAACATCATAGGCACAATAGGTAAAAAAATAAAATGCATAATAGTCAATTCTTAATTCTAGAAGACTTTATGCAAAATTCACTATATATAGAACATCAACAAGCACCTCCAACATCGTATTTGACACCTTGACACCATGGCTAGAGTTTCCATCTTTGCTTCCAAATTCATCATCCTCTCACTCCTCTCTTCCTTTGCCACAATTTTGGTAACTGGAGACCAAGATCATGAATTTGTGAGAAGCATGGACAGGAAGCTGTTAGGGCTCAAGAAAGAAAAGCTCAGCCATTTCAAATTATATTGGCATGACATCCTTACTGGCCCTAACCCTAGTGCCATCCAAGTTGTGCCACCAGCGAACACATCAAAAACAGCTTTTGGGTTGGTGAGAATGATCGATAACCCATTAACCTTAGGGCCTGAAATGAGCTCAAAGTTAGTAGGAAGGGCACAGGGGTTTTATGCACAAGCATCGCAAGAAGATATTGGCTTATTAATGGCCATGAACTTTGCTTTTATTGAAGGTAAGTATAATGGTAGCACTATTACTGTTCTAGGGAAGAACACTGTGCTTTCGACGGTGAGAGAGATGCCGGTTATTGGAGGGAGTGGAATTTTCCGGTTTGCTAGAGGTTATGTTCAGGCAAGAACTCACAAGTTTGATCTCAACACAGGAGATGCTACAGTTGAGTATAATGTCTACGTTTTACATTATTGATATCGTGTCCTCTTTGACCCCTTTTGCTTGGTTTTTATTCAATTATTTGCTTTAATTTATGAGGCTGCGCTGCAATCTATTTTCAATAATGTTGACTGCCTTTGTTTTGGCCTATTTATTTGGAATTATGTCTATTAGTCCTTGTACTGTATTTACCTTTTACCTTGAGAATAATAATAATAATAAGAATAAGAATAAGAATTAAAAGAAAAAACAACAATTTTCTCCTATTAATTCTGAGCTTTTTTATTTTCATTATTGCTAAAACCATTATATATGTCGTAATTGTTCTATCTGAATATGGTTCGTACATGCTAATGATCTTCATCAATATATATGAATTACAAAATCTTTTCAACATTGCAATAAATAATATTATTTACTATCGATTGTCTACAATCTACTACCATGATTTTTTTTCTTTTTTTCAAACAACTAATTAAAGATAAATAATTTGAACCAATTCTTTAAAAGAAATTTTAATATAAGAGTATTTAGAGTGTATTTTGTGATATAGAGTGCGTATATTAGAAAAAGTAACCATCAGGTGTGGCGCAGTAGCCAGTGCCTGGGGCCAAGGGGTTTGCTCCCCCTGTGGTCTCAGGTTCGAGCGCTGCCTCCCACATGAGGTGGTCACCGGCATCTTAACTGGTCGATAATGTCAAGGCCCATGGGATTAGTCGGTTGACGCGAAAGCTGGCCCGAAAACCCATGTAAATCCAAAAAAAAAATATTAGAAAAAGTATATCTTATGATTTTAACATTTTTATATCAATCTATTAAAAATATTTTTTTAAGAAAAATGCTATTGTTCTTGATTTATTCTGGGATTGTAACTTGCAACTTGCAAGTTTTCACCGACACACTCAGTTTTGAGAGTGAAAAGCAGATGGTTACTCGGAAACTTTCACCATTTTGCTGGTGGGCATAATCATATGATTCAGGGGAGTGGAAAACACCTGGCAATATGAATTATTTTGGGCAATTTTTTATCTTGATGTCGGACTTGATTAAGCTTATGTCTTATTCAGAGTAAATTATAAATTAGTCCCTCTAATTTTGATAAATAAATTAATTAGTCCATCTTGTTTCAAAAACCAATTATTTAGTTTTTTAAATTTTCTTATAACTAAGTCTTTTTTTGCTCCCTTTTCATTTATTTCGATTTTTATTTTACGAAATAGAAATCAGAAAAAAAAATAATTAAAAATATTATAAAAGGAATGGTAAAAAAAAAGATGATATTTACAATTTACTAGTCTTATTTACACCTTGGATTAATTACTTAATTGAGGTTGCAATTAACATCTTGAGCCTGATCTGTACCTTACACATGATGGGCCTCAATTCTGCCTATCTATCAGGTTCAAGTTGGATCCCATCTTGTTGGGTCAAATTAATCTATGGTCACACTTTGAGCCATTTTCCAAGGTTCACTCAGAATCAAAGATGCCATTGCTTGAAAAAAGATATATTTTTTTAGCTTCAAGGTCTTGCTAATCCAGCAGCCATAAGCTAGGATTAACAATTTAACAAAGAGATTAAAAAAAGAAATAGAAAAAGGAAACCTAAAAAAGGCCTACAGTATCAATTTTATCTTCATCATGGACTTGCTTAATCTTATGTCTTAATCAGAGTAAACTATAAATTACCCCCTCTAATTTTGATAAATAAATAAATTAATCCATCATGTTTCAAAAATTAATTATTTGATTTTTATAATTTTTAATTTTTCTTATAACTTAATTATTTTTTCTCCCTTTTAATTTATTTTGATTTTTTATCTTAAAAAATAAAAATAAAATAAATAATTAAAGAATATAAAATAAATGATGAGAAAATATAAGAATTTATAAAATAAATAATATTAAATTAAACGTAATCAACACTGATTAAAAAAAAAAACTAAATAATTAGTTTTTCAAACAAAAGAGAGTGATTAATTTTTATCATTTACACCTTCGGATTAATCACTCAATTGAGATTGCAATTAACATCATGAGCCTGATCTGTACCTTACACATGATGGCCTCAATTCTGCCTATTTATCAGGTTCATGTTGGATCCCATCTTGTTAGGTCTAAAACTTAGCCACCCAAATTAATCTATGGTCACACTTTGAGCCATTTTTCAAGGTTCACTCGGAATCAAAGATGCCATTGCTTGAAAAAGATATATTTTTTTTAGCTTGAAGGTCTTGCTAATCTAGCAGCCATAAGCTAGGATAAAGCATCATGAACAGAGAATGCCTAGTTGGCAACTAGATGATTTCTCCCCTTTATCAATCTAGCTCCAATTCCAAATCGGAAATTCATAGCAACCTATGAGCTATCCAAGCATTTGTTTTTGTTTTGTTTTGTTTTGTTTTGTTTTTTTTTAATGTTCTTTTCTCCTAGTAATTAAATATCAAGAATTTTGAATTGAGGATCCAAGTTAAAGAAAGTTGAATAATTCGATATGATTAGCATATGATCTTCAATACAATGAGATGCTAATCATTGCTTGAGATTCTTGGCGTGAAGAATTTTTACAAAATGTATGAAATATTTAACAAAATCTCCTTTCATTTTTTATAAGATTTTACAAACATCGAAAACTCGAATAATTTAATTTTTTTTTATTGAGACCTTAATTTTTTTTTCAATTTAAGAATTCTACTTTTATATTATTGTTCTTTCATACCCTAATCAATGTAAGCACACGTGTGACATCACCAAATTTAAGCCTATCATAACACTCGTTAAGTTGTCATTAGTTAGAACTTGTTACGTGTACTTATGTGGCACATTACGGTTTAAAATGACAACAATATAATATTAGAACTGTTAAATTGGATAGAAAAAAAACTTAAGATCTCAATAAAAAAAATTCGAATATTACAAAGTTTCGATACGTATAAAACCATTTTTTATATAGAACCATGGAATCAAGTGATATCAATTGTGATGTTCAAGAATTTTGAATTAAGGATCCATGTTCAAGAAAGTTGAATGATCCGATCATAATTAGCATATAATCTTTAAGACAATGAGATGCTAATCATTGCTTGAGATTCTTGGCATGAAGAACTTCTACAAAATGTATGAATACTTAACAAAATCCCTTTTCGATTTTTTATATACAACCATGGAATCAATTGATACCAAATGTGGTGTTGTGTGGGGTTAAGAATTGGTCATCTTGAAAGTTTAAGTTACAATTGCCTTTAACGATAAAGAACTAAATTTTTAATTTTTAAAATAAAAAGAATTGATTAATTCATTTATGTAGAGAGATTAATTTATCATTTATCATGTTAGAATACCATATCAATTTTATTTTTATTTTTATTTTTTTCATCAAGCAGTCATATGCCTTGAACTATTCTAGACAATAGCTCTGTCCCCTTGGAATTTGAGTTTCATGCCTCCAAAACATCAAAATTTAATTTTTTACCGTTAAAATTTAAAAACCCAAATTAATGCTTATTTTCTACAGGCTGTTTTGATCTGCATAGTATATTTTAATACAGGTTCAGGTTGGATTATCAGCACAGATATCGAATCCCCAAAAAAAATTGGTTGAACAAAGACCTTTCCCTACTTTTAAAAGATTTCATACACCAATCGTCTATTTTAATGAAAATAAAACCTATTTTTTAAAGATTTCACGCACCAAATGTCTAAAAAAATTTTTTATTTTATTTTGTATCTTTATAGGATGCATAATCCTTTATCGTCCACTAGCCAAGATTTCACCGTCTCTCTCACAGAGCCTAGGAGGAGAAGAAGAGATTAGATGATCAGCATGACAATTAAGAGTGACATTTCTTTTTTTTTTTCCTTACATAGTAATGAATATTTTTTTTAATATTAATTTAAATTTTCATAAAAATTTAAATTTTTATAATACGTTGTTTATTTTAATTGTTAATTACTACTGAGAATATCATAAATTTAAAAACTAACAAAAAAACTTTATCAATTTAAAAAAAAAAAAATTAACAAACCTAACCATAGATTCACATGGATTAGCATTAAAAAATTTTTATATTTATATTTAGCGATGAAAATAACGACAAAATAGCAACATCTAAATTTGCTAGGCTGTTTTGATTTGCATAGCATATTTTAATACAGGTTCAGGTTGGATTATCAGCACAGATCTCGAATCCCTAAAAAAAAATTGGTTGAACAAAGACCTTTCTCTAAAGATTTCATACACCAATCGTCTATTTTAATGAAAATAAAACCTATTTTTTTAAAGATTTCACGCACCAAATGTCTATTTGAAAAGAAAAAAAAAAAAAACCCAGAAGTCTCAGACTATCATTAACGAATAGAAAAATATAGATGGTTTATACTTTTTATGGTTTGGCGTAATATCTGTTTCAATACGTGCACATTTTTCCTGGTACTTGTCTCCATCCTACAAATTAGTATCTAGGGAGGCAGGTAGAGTAAATTATAAACTAGTCCCTCTTCTTTTTTCAAAACAAATTAAATAGTCTTTTTAGTTTAAAATTTAATTAATTAGTCATTATATTTTTAAATCTATTTATAACTTAATTCTTTTTTTTTTTTTTGGTTTTTGGTTTTAAGATATAGAAAAAGAAAAAATAAAATAAATAAAACATATGAAAGAGATTATGAAAAGAAATTTTTTTTTGAAAAGAATAATAGGTTTTTGCCACATTTGGACTTTATGTTTTTTTTTAATTGAGACTGTTTATTTTTTTTTCTCGATTGACATCTTCTACTTTTCAATTTTTTTTTTCGTTTCAAGTTCTTTATTATAACGTTACCAATTAGTAATCGTTACATGATATTATAAAGTAAGAAATCTCAAAAAAGTATCGATCATTGATTTATAGTATTATAAAAGAGAGTCTAAAATAAGAAATCTCTAAAAAATAAAAAAATAATAAAATAAAATAGAATCTCAATAAAAAATTTCAAAAAATACAGTCTAAATATGAAGAGCTCAAAAAATAATATTAAATTAATCATGATTAATATTGA